AGCTTTGCGACATTCTTTTCGTATTTGTCAGTTAATCTGCTGATGAATATGCAATGATATGTTTAAATCTAACGTCTTGCAAGTTCTTTAACTAGATATTCCTAGTTATTTGATTCCTGTTATCTAGGAAGATGCTATATACACTTTTAAGTAGTCCACGCCCTATATTATTTCTTTGAAAGAGTATTTTCAAAAGTTTCGTACGTGACGCATTATGACAAAGCCGTCCATCCTACTCACAACTTTTCCGTAATAAATGATAGCGAACAAAAAAAGCTCGCGTGTGGTTTCGAGAGAACAGGATATACCTTTGTAACTTTAGTGGAAATACGCGTGCACGATGCTTGTCATCAATTCAAATATATCAGTGAAATTCCATTTGGAAACAACATAAAGTCGCAAGCCACGTGTCAGGCTAGATGTCTTTTGTTACATAGATATTATGGCAAAGAGTAATATTTTATATTTTTGGACTGATTATATCTGCTGATAATCTTGCTTTTTATCAATTATATAGTTTGCAATAGAATTGTATAGTATGGAAAGTAAATCGATTTTTATAAATCGAGATCAGTCATAGATCTTATTTCCCTAATAAAAAAGGTTTTGATAAAACTAAATATGAAACTCAAACATTCACATTTTTATTTCTTTTAAAAACTAAATTATTAAAAAGACAATATCAGAAATAGTCATTTCAAAAACAATACAAAGTTACAAATTATTTTATCAATGACAGATCAAGTGAACTTCAAGATATTATTGAAATCATTAAAATGTTTTCTCCTCAATTTGTATATTTGTAAATGTGTGTAAAGAATGATTGACTGCACAACGCGATGTAGGATCCTCCTTTCTGATGTGGGTCCCCCAATGCTAAGCAATACTCTCTTTAGCGCAGCCACATACTTCTCTGCTTTCCGGGCTATATGCTTCCCCATCAGCCATAATGGTGTAGAATTACTCCCAAATATTTGACACATTTCTTTGATGATAGCTGTGCTATCTATGCTCCTGCATGTTGGAGTTCCATCTTATGTCTTTTCCGTTTACCTTTCAGTTAAATGGCTTCGACCTTCTCTGTCGCGTTTGAGTTCCAGTCTTTGACCTGTCATCCAGTCCTTTGAGACGTTGACAATAGGTCTTACCTGAAATCGGAGATCCGGCTCATCCCGCGATACCTTTTCTGTATTTTTAGTTTATGACCTCTTCATATACCAGGTTCCATGGCGTCGAAACCAAGACCGATTCCTGTGAGACTCCAGCCGTTATGTCAACGAGCGTGCACTTCTTAATCATGAGTCTTCTCTCGGAAAGATATATAATATTATGTCTTATGTCTTATTAGTAACGTGTGAATAAGTTGTCGATAGTCGAAGGAGATCAAATTGATTCTGAGAGGGGACGGAGCTGTGGAGAGAATTGGATAATTTATACAAATTTTTCTTGGTACAATCGATATACCAAAATTGCATTAGGAAGGACACTGAATATTACTTGATTTGTTTATGTAGAATAATAAGCTCGATTTTAGATCGTAATTGTAATTATCCATGCATTATTGAAGGTTCACGTACGTAGAATGAATTTTGTTTAATAAACATTGTATGCTAATAATTTTTGAAGGTATCATTTGAACGACAATGGGGGAATGCTGCCACGTGGTGATCCAGGATATGATAGGCTGTACAAAATCCGCCCATTAATCACACGGCTCAATGAAATCTATGGCAAAAGCTTTATTCCAAGCAGAAATGTCGCGATTGATGAAAGCATGGTAGCATTCAAGGGACGAACAATACTGAAGCAGTACATGCCAATGAAACCTGTCAAAAGAGGATTTAAAGTTTGGGCAATGGCATGTGCTGAAACAGGATATTTGTTGAAGTTTGACGTTTACCAAGGTAAAACAGCGATAAATCCGGAGCATACATTAGGGGAAAGGGTTGTGATTGAATTATCAGAGGCGCTGCAGAATAGAGGCTTCTGTTTATACTTTGATAATTTCTTTACGACAATTCCTCTAATGAAAAAACTATTGGACAGAGGTCTGTTTGGATGCGGGACAATGAGACAGAACAGAAAGCACTTTCCAAAAGGCGAACTACTCGAAGATAAAAAGTTAGCGATGAGCCAGTCTGATTTTGCAATGTGTGGCGACGTATCTGTCGTGAAATGGAAAGACAGAGGTAGTAAACCTGTTACAGTATGTAGCAACTTTCACAATGGTGGTGATAAAGGACACGTTCTTCGAACCAATACAAAAGGTATCAAAGAGAATGTTGTTTGCCCGATGTCTATAGTTGACTATAACAAAAATATGGGTGGGGTGGATCGGTTTGATCAAAGGATGGCGGTCTACAACATAGGCTGGAAGAGCCGTAGGTGGTGGATGAAGCTCTTTTATTATATGATTGAGACAAGTGTCGTCAACTCCTATATCATTTATGCGTTGGGAATGAAGAAAGAGAGAAAGAAGCCCCTTAGTCACCTTCAATTTCGGAGCAAGTTGGCCGACGAATTGATAGAAGAGTTTTCTGCTAGGAAAAAAATGGGTCGTCCACTGTTAGTGACAGCAACGGACAACATAGGACATTTGGCGACTAAAACTACCTCACGGCGTTGCGCTCAGTGTAGCAAAGAGGGAAAGCAGAAAAGAACTTCCGTCAAATGTTCAAAATGTGAAGTGGCTTTGTGTATTGAATGCTTTATACCATACCATCAGTAATTGTAAATTTCTAAAAATAAACCATTTATTCCGGATATATATTATATATTATTTTTGTGGTGGTAAACCTGTAATACCAGTGAATTTTAAGAATTTTTTTTGTTGTAAACAAACACTGGTAATACGGTTTACCACTGTTTTTTGACAGATTGACATATAGAACTAATTCAAAATGACCTTCAGAATACCTATTTAGTTCGTTTTAACTAAAATACCATATTTAACTTTTATTTTCTCTCTCCAAAAAAGTTGCCTGTTAAAGGGTTAATCAGTATATTTTATTACATTATTTTCATATCATATTATGTTGTTTTATTCCGTTTTTCTTTGGACCTAACCCTTCAGCTAACCCATATATAAAGTATATATATTGAAGCACGAGTAAAACCTGAGATAACAACATTGAAAAGGTGTGATATAAATCATAAATAAAAAATTTAAATAATTTTTTATATATAATTTTTGTAGAGTTTTAAAATTAAAATTCTTGATATCACATTAATATATATTATATTTCAAATAATAATGCATATACTACTCAGTTGCTTAAACGAATAAACAAGAATGAGGATGCGTGAGCTAGAGTTGCTACCCTTTTCTTGCCACCCCTCTCCTAACACAATCTGTTAGGGATGAAAAGGGATTGTCTCGACAACTGTAATGGAAATAAATGACCGCTAAAAGACTTCATAAAGCGCCGTTCAGTTTACTGTTAAGTCAGCAATGAATGGCACAGCACATTTAGACTCTTATTAGACTTTTATATAAGTCAAATGTGAAGAGTCTGAAAATAAATAATATAGTTTGATCACGAATAAATATTAAAGGGTTAAAACTTGTTATGCATTCAACTTCTAATATCTACTGTTTAGTGAACTAAACTTTAGTAACAGCGATATAATTTTTCTGCAAGTTGTAGATTTCATGAAGTTATACGGTACAACATCTAGCCAAATTTCTCAGCGGATTTTAGTTATTTTAAGACTCTAATGAATTGCAGGTAAGTGCTATTAATAAAAGTAAATATTAATTAGGAATTAACATTTCCTAATTAATATACAGCTTTCTTAATCACAATGTCTTCGCTCAGTTAGTTCTCTATCCTGATTTTTACTATTTGACCTTAAGATGCTTAGCTTGAAGATCTGTGTCATCGAGGGTAGTACTTTCTAAAAATTTCTCTGCAAAACTTTATTTCAAACTTTTTAATAGCATATCCAATGTGCTTATAACGCCAAATAGCGGTTTTCACTCTGATTGAAGGATAAAAAAGAGGTATATGGCGACTTCCATATTATCTTAATGTGGAAGTTATTTGTGTTTTACAATATCTAAAGCTTTATGATGGCTGGCAAAACAATTTGTATGTTTCACAGATATATAGGTGTATGTTTCTCTGAAATATAAGCATCTTTCCAGCTATGTATCTAAAGCCAAACGAACTTTTTAAGATAGTCATTAATATTCAGCTCAGAGTAAACAATAGTACACCAAATATTGATACAATATAAGCTGAATATTCGTGACTCTCCTAGATATCTTGTTAGAATGTATCAGTAGTTCTTTTTATTTACTATAGATTCTTTTGTAAACGTTTTTTAGCAATATTTTTATTAATTTTTCGATCTAATACCACTTTCTGAATTTTATTTATTTCATTAGAAACCTCGTTCTGACATTCGATTAAAATATTCGGATCTTTGTCCTTGTTGTATACTGGCCAGACCTTCAAATGGGGCAGAGCATCCTGAATGCTTGCTGAGCTTTTAGTATTCTCATAACAACATCGTCTTTTGTGCCTCCTGGATAAGTTTTTTTGGCTTAGACTTATCGTCATACAGCCAGACACAAAAGGAATAAGGCAGTATCCATCATTATAATTTACCTGAATGTCCTATCAATAAAAGATAACATCGATATTGATACATACATGATTTAAATCACTTTCTTCTCTACAATGCTCACATTTGTCATCATCCAAAACCTGTGTTTAAAATAAGTGTTTTGTGCCACCACCATACTCTGCAAATTGCACGTAAAATAATAATATTTTTCTTTGTTACTAAAATATTATCAACATGTTTGTGACACTTGAAATAATTTTGAAAAATTATGCCTAACAATTTAACTAAAATGACGTCTCTTGGCAGTAATACAAATTAATAAAGACAAGACAAAGTCACTGTCGAAAGCTAATAAGACTTTAAGTATTTTGACAGTGGCGTAACAAACTAGCAAAAAACATTTTTGGATATAATTTAAACGCAAAAAAATATCAACTTGATTATTTTTATTAAATTATGTTCAAGGTACAGTGTATAATGTTATAATATAATCAATTAAATTCCAGAATTAGTTTTAATCCAGCTTCGTAAGCTAGCAACATTAGCGTAAACTCCGGGATAATTAGCTTGGGCACAGCCGGCTCCCCAAGAAACAATACCAACTACTTTTCCATTAGCTGCAGCTGGACCACCAGAGTCCCCTTGGCAAGCATCTTTACCTCCAACTCCCAAGTAGCCAGCGCAGAACATATTTGCTGTTATCGTGTTTGAGTATCGATTTTGACAGGTAGTTTGACTAACTTTTGGAACAACTACTTGCAACAAATCTTCTGAACCAGCTCCTCCTTCTCTTGTTGCTCCCCAACCGGTTACCGTAATACTTGCACCATCTGCAAGAACTTCATTAGCTGCAGGAAGAACAGCAGCTTTAGCATTAGTTGCAGTTACAGCATTAGCCAATTGTAATAAGGCAATATCGTTATTAAGGGTATAATCGCTGTAGGATTTGTGAATTATATGCTTTACTACTTTAACCGATTGACCACCACTATGGGCTTTTGAACTACCAGCCCGAATATTAAGATTTGTGCTGTATCCCTGTGTAAGACAATGTGCTGCTGTTACTACCCATGTAGATGAAATCAGGAAACCTCCACAAAAATGCTTGTTGTTATGCTGAACTGAAACTTGGAATTTATGTAACTTGATATCTGTTTTGTCGCCTCCAACGATTCCTAAATTGATTTTACCCAATGTAACATTTCGGGATGGAGCAGCATCTGAAAATTGTAAAATAAAAAATACACGATTAGTCAATAGTTACAAGATAAACAAAAAACTCATTTAACTCTCAAATCTCAATAATGTCTTAGTTACAGTTATATTTTTGCTTAAAAATAACCTTAATTTTTGACTTAAATCACCCCAACCATCCACAGCTCCTGAAACAACGCAGCCGTCCTTCCTTTTCTATGTAATTTGCAAAACTCCTAGCGACGTAATCAAGGATTTTTTAAATATAAACCGAGGTCACGGGATACCTCATTTGCAAGGTCTTTTAATCGTGTTTGTGATTCGTTTAGTTTAGTGAATAAGTATTTATTGTAACTACATTTTACTAAGGGAAACAAAGAAGAATATAGAAAACTAAATAAAAGAATTTCAGCGGAAATTAGAAAAGATGTAAGAAGAGATAATACTAATGTAATTACTCAAACAGTAGAAGAGAACAAAGGTTTAAAGATAATGAAAAGAAAACTCATACAAAGTAAAAAAGAAATATACAAGCTGAGAGATAAAGACAAAAAGACAACAACAGACAAATAAAACATTCTGAAAATAACCAGAGAGTTTTATAAAGACCTCTATACCAGCCAAAGACCACAAGACAATTTCCCTACACAAGTAAAGACTTTCATAAATCAGGGATCGGAAATACTTTTACCCATTACTGTGTCAGAAGTAAGCCAGCTTTAAAGGAAATTAAGAATCATGGATCGTCTGGTGATGATGGACTCGTTATTGAGGCAATAAAAGCAGGAGGAGAAATTCTATTAAAATCAGTAATCGAACTGTTTAATAAATGCTTACATGCGGGTACGATTCCAAAAGACTGGAACAATGCAGTGATAGTCTTGTTACACAAAAAAAGCAATATTACTAAATTAGAAAATTATAGACCATTAGCCTCTTGACACATATGTACAAACTCTGTATGAAAATCTTAACAAAGAGACTAACACCTAAACTTGATTTCTATCAGCCCAAAGAACAAAAAGGCTTCAGGGCAGGATATGGCACAAATGACCATTTGCATACCATAAAGATCTTAATAGAAAAGTGCATCGAGTACAACATACCACTGGTTCTTGCATTTGTTGATTACGAGAAGGCTTTTGATTCTGTAGAGTTTGAAACAGTACTGGAAGCCCTAAGTCAAAGCCGAATAGATTACAGGTACACGACACTAATCAAAAACATTTACGAGAACGCTACATCAAGTATACGACTACACGAAGACACAGAAAATTTCAGCTTAGGTCGAGGAGTTATACAAGGAGACAATATTTCACCAAAATTGTTCACGGCAGCTCTAGAGTCAATATTTAAGAACACTCAATGGCAAGATATGAGCATCAATATAGATGAAGAAAGATTAAATCATCTAAGGTTTGCAGACGATGTTGTAATAATCGCAGATAACTTACAGGATACAGTTTCTATGATACATTCGCTTAAAAGTCTGTCTGAAAGAGCAGGATTAAAGATAAACTTTGAGAAAACTAAACTTATGACAAATCTCGTAATGAGTGGAAATATAACTATTGACAATAATACCATACAACAAACAGACACTTACAAATATCTGGGACACGAGATCAAAATAAGCAGAGACAATCAAACACATGAAATACAGAGGCGAATAGGCCTGACATGGGCAGCATTTGGCAAATTAAGCCATATTCTAAAAAGTTCAATTCCCATGTGTCTCAAGCGAAAGGTTTATAACCAATGTGTTTTGCCTGTACAAACTTATGGAGCAGAGACTTTAACACTCACGCAAAAATCTGCGAATAAACTCAGAGTTACACAACGAGCCATGGAACGTGCAATGCTGAACGTGAGCCTTCGAGACCACATAACAAACCAACAAATCAGGCAAAGATCAGGAGTTCAAGACGTCATCGAAAGAACCACGACGCTTAAGTAGAACTGGCAGGGCACTTAGCCAGAACACAAGATGGACGGTGGACAAGACGTATTATGGAATGGAGGCCCAGAAACTATAAAGAAGCCGAGGACAACCAACGGCTAGATGGACCGATGATATAAAACGTGTAGCGGGAAACTGGCTACAAGTGTAGAGAACACTGGAAAGAACTGAGGGAGGGCTATATCCAGCAGTGGACGCGAAAAACTGATTGATGATAATGATGATTTTACTTAACTAAGTACATAATTTGAATGATACATCGTTGCAAAGACGATTAGAAGACCTTTCAAATGAGTGGCCTCTTGACTTCGGTTTGTATTTATAAAATCATCGATTACGTCACTACGCCAACACTTATGATGTAATGTCCAACACGGTCCAATATATAGCAATTGACGGCTATTAAAATTGAAATTCATTCCATACTTTTGCATCATACTCTATAACTATCTCGAATATAAAAAATATTAGTGACAATGACCTTAAAAAGATAAAGCAAAGTAACCAACATTAAATTCCTAATCACCGAAATAAAAAAGAATATTAGGTATAGGAATATAGAACTCCCGTCGAATGAAAAAGAGAAGCAAAATACCTAGGAGTCACTATGGGCCAAGGCCTTACCTTCACGCAACACGTGAACACAACCATCCAAAAAACAGTAACAGCCAGCATTCGATTAAGTACGACATAAACAAGTAATTAATCTCCTGAAATCAAAGAAAATTGACTACAACGACCTCAGGATCATATCAAATTTATACTATAAACAGCGAACAAAAGTACGTGTTAACGAACACCTGTCAGAAGAAATTGAAATTAAATGTGGAGTGAGACAAGGATGCATATTGTCGCCAATTTTTTTAAATGCCTACTCTGAAGAGATCCTGAAAAACGCTCTTGAGGGTGAAACAGGTGGAATAAAGGTAAATGGAGTTCTCATTAACAACATTAGATATGCTGACGACACTGTGATCTTAGCCTAAAATATTGAAGATCTTCAGAGACTGGTGACCAGAATAGCGGAATATGGAAAAGAGTATGGTCTAAGAAAGAATGTCAAGAAAAATGTATGATATCAAAAACTCAAGAGAAATAGCAAGAGATTTAAAATTGGAACTCAGAGTTAGGTTGGCGAGGTGCTATGTTTTTTCGACTTTATTTTATGGAATGGAATTTTTGACCTTGAATGCGACATCAATAAAAAATTGGAATCATTCGAGCTGTGGGTGTACAGAAGAATTCTGAAAATATCGTGGACAGAACACGTCACAAACACAGGGGTTCTGGGAAGGATGAATAAAGAAATGGAATTTTTAAATACAATTAAACATGGAAATTGGAATATCTCGGACATATTACAGGTGAAGAGAAATACACCCTGCTCCAACTCATTATGTAGGGAAAGATCCAAGAAAAGAGAAGCTTAGGGGGCGTAGAATGTCATGGCTGCGCAACCTGAGAGAGTGGTACAAATATACATCAAATGAACTTTTCAGAGTAGCCGTCTCAAAAGTGTAAATAGCTATGATGATGACCGACCTCCGCCGCGGAGATGGCACTTGAAGAAGAAAAAGATAGATAGAAAAAGCGAACTGCGCATTAAGACGAAAATGAAACTGAAAAACAGCATCATACTTCCAATAATCACATATGTATCTTTCGCATGGGGACACATAAGCAATTCAAATAAAAAGAAAATACAAGAAGCCCACAATAACATATTCAGAGAAGCGGTAAATGTACCCAGATACGTGAATGCTTTCTGTTTAGAGAATTGCAACAAGTAAGGGTGATAGAGAAAATGGCCGAAAGTCTCGAATGACTCGAAGTCCGAGCAAGCAATTTTAGTTCGATGATAAGTCACTAGAGAAAGCAGGAAAAGAGAGCGTCACGCTAGGTTGCATTGATCGGGTTAGGATGTCGTAATTAAGTTCTTGTAGGTACCCAGAACTTCCACACAGAAAGCATTTAAAGAGCGGTGTAGTGACTGCTGTTTTTAACTCGAGTTAATACACCTCGCTCAAATGAACTGGTACACCCAAACCTAATTATTAGGGGTGAACATGTCTCACAGGCTGGGTTTACTTAAATTGCTTGCTTGTTATAAAACTTCAAAATTTAACCATAACTATGAGGTCCATATGAGAGAATATTATAAAATTTTTAACCAATTTTTCAATAAATAAATTAATAAATAAATACATACACAAATCAAGAGCATTAGGTAATTTCCAAAATTTTCTATTAAATACAATACATACCAAGTGCTACAATTACTGCAACTAGAACTGCTAGTACCTTCCACATTTCGATTTTTTTCTGTAATGAACAATTAGTTTGCTTTTTATTATTTATAGTAAAACAATTATCTCCCTAAGCAGCTTGGATTAGTAAAATAATCGATTATTTTTAATATGATTTACAGCAGGTCTGACGTTAAGTTTGTAAATATTGTAAAAATATCGTAAATATTTATAATCAGCTATGGACTGGAGTTAAAAAAAGTCTAAAGATTCGAAGAGCAATAGATATGTACAAAGATTCTTTCTACAGTCGTAGGCCCATCTAAAAAAATAAAAAAAAAACAATTAAAAATGTTTAAAAGAATTTTAATTAGTATAAAAGATATGTTGAAGTGGACGATCAGAGTTTCTTCTGTCCTAACAGCCCAATAATAGGATATCGCGTATCGTCCCCTTTATTTAATTTGATCATATGTAAATGTTATTGTCCATCCGGTGGGGAGCGTGTCTTATGGGGTGGAAAACATATTTTCAATCCAGTAAACATCATTGTAGAATATGGACTTCCGAGTAAAAGAGCTGTGGAGAGCTTTAGCGAAATTTGGACCATGATCCTGAAGGATTTCTGATAAAAATGTTGAATTATTAAATTGAAAAACAAGAAAAATTAATTAGTAAGTTTGAAGTTTTAACTTACACTAATTAGATCAGGTAATTAGATTTAAATTTAAATTTAATTTAAATTTAAAAACTTCCAATTAAAATCTGGAGTTCGACAGGCATGCATAATATCCCCTATTATATTCAATGTATATAGTGAACATATTATGAGTCAAGTTTTTAAGGAATGGCAAGAGGTGGAACAAATGTTATTGATGTCCATAATAATACGAACTCATGCAACCAAAATCATGCAACTTACGGTCAAATAACAAGTGGAACACATGTAAGTAATACAAACAGTGACATTGGAAAATGATGAAGAGTTTCGTTAACGAATTCAAAGCTATATTTTCACAACTAATAAATCAAAATAGCGTGATCTTAAACATGCTTTTCACAGTAATAAACAAATTCAGTAATGGAACTTAAGTCACTACGAATTGCAAAATGGAATGCCACTGGCCTAGGCGCCAGCCCACCCCAACGAGGAAGCAAGACAACTACACCTCCAACCAGAAGTCAGATGAAGATTGAAGAGACAGTGGCCAACAGACACTAATTTCAACTTTGATTTTAATTTTCATTTCAATTTTAGTTTCAATTATAATCCTACATTAATTTAATTTGTTAGTGTTAGTATTGGAGTGTTATCAGTGGATAATTTCTCCTCTCATGTATTTGCAATACTCACATTTACTAATAACTTGTAATAGCAGATTGTAAATTTGCAAATTTAATAAAAAAAAATGATTATTACTCCAAACAACGAAAATGTAGTTTGGCCCTTTTAATACCCAGGTCCAGAATCATGTTACTACATATTTGAAGACCTTAGAGCAACAACGGTACATGCCACAAAAGTAAGTTTTTGAGAAAATCAAATATAAAGGTTTTAATCAAATCCTGAAATACCAAATATGGATTAGAAATTTCGTAAATGGTATTATTTGAAACCTGTATATCAACTATCCTTGAAACGCTAAGCTAATTTTAAAAAAAGTAGTTATTGTAGAAAAAAAAACAATAAAAATTCAAAAAAATGTGGCTTGCACCTTTATTACAAAAAAAAATTATTAATACAACAAGTTGTAAAATAGGTATCTTATCATAATATTAGAAGTTATATACAGTACTAAACATGAAAAACACAATACATAAAATCAATTTAATTTTCATCCTCCAGATCGCTAAAGTCATCCAAATGTTCTGTCTCATTATCTATATTATCATTATCTGTTCCCATATTTTCAACAACACCAATCTCTCTGTAGTAATTCTGGTAAATAGGTGGTATGTAGCGAAGAAGCATCGAAATATTAGATATTTTTTTTGGGTTTAATGGAATGGGTGCGTCATATTTAATTTTTAAATCTCTTACATTCAGGTTTACTGCAGTTCTAACACCTCTCCTGCCAATATTGACAGATTTAAATAATTCGTTCCAAAGATGTTTATAAAACATAACATTTGGAGTCTCGTGAGTAAATTTAAATGTGCAGATTTTACTGAAATTAAGCTTTTCTTTATTTTCTGTTTGCGTTTTTTTGGTAATATTTTGGATCTGTAAATCCTTAAAAGACAAAATATCTTTTTGCTGTAAAACAATGACATTAAAAGGATTTTTCCTTTTTGATTTTAAGACTGCTTGATACCAATCATCAGGGGTATACACCTGATTTAAATAACGGCGTTTATATTTTTCAATAATTGCGAAGTCACGATCAGAAGGAAGATGTGTGTGTCCCACTACTAGAAATCTATGTTCTATTGTATCAAAGACACTTTCTTTAACTAGTTGTTGCCACAGACATACAATGGTCCAATTTTTGTTTTGTCCAGCGCAATTATCGCTATATACAACAAGCTTCCTATGTTCAGTAGGATTTTCTTTAAAATGCTTATATAATATACTAGCAATCTCGTCACTTCCACGTTTTGCTAAGTGTTCGGGCCACATATACATATATCCCCTATCTTCAACGCAGTCATGTATTCCTAAGTTATAGGTCCAAATTTTTCGTAAATAAAAAGCAGGACCAACTGTCAAAGAAGGTACAGGTAGCGCTTGCTGTAAATCAAAACTGATGACAGATGTGTCTTTTGTTCTCTTAGCATTTTCTATTTCATCTTTCAGGCTTTTTTGCAAAGCTTCGGCCCTTCGATGGTGTAGCTCAAGTTGAGACTTTAACCTGCTTGCTGATGCTTCTGTACTGCCAACATTTTCAATTTGAATATTTAGAGAGTCGCATGTTTTGCAGGTGTCCGTTTTGGGTAATTTAAATTCAATGTTAAACTCATTGCAAAAAACATTTCTGTAGTAGCTTTCTTTTACTGGATTGGCATTTCTATTTCTACACCATTCCAGGTAATAATCGTGATAAAGAGCAGAAATCGATAAATCATGATCTATGTACACTTTGTTTGGATTTTTTTGCCTACTATAATGACTGGTGTATTTTGGGATGGACTTAATATGTGTTTTTACGTTTTCACGATCACAGTCATTAATTTTATTTGCTCTGTTCTGGTGTTTGCCACGTTTATCTGCTTTTGGGGTACTAGCACCTTCCTTCATTTGTTCGCATAAAAGTTGAATTCTTTTTTTTTTGATTTTTGCAAACCATGAACTGCAAGAAACTCTTGTTTGCATATTTTTACATCTATACCCTTGATCTTTACAAAGTATTGTATTGAAACATTTCGCGACGATACATGTTTTTTGGTTTTTTTGAGGTAGGTTCTTTTTTTTGGAACAGATTTGATTTGGGAAAAAAGATAAATATTTTGTTTATCATAGTCACCCAAGTTCCAAAACGCATTAAAAATCTGTGCTTCATTTCCTTGCAAAGTATCTCGACATTTCTTGCTACACTTACATGGAGGTCCGATTTCCCTGTCAGGTACTTGTTTTTGCCGTTTACTTACATAGCTATGGCCCAAATTTCGGTTGGTTTTTCTCTTATGTCTAGTCTGTCTCTTTAGGTTTGCCTGGCGCCATCTTGAAGAAAGGGCTTTCTCTGGCGTGGAAAGAGAACCTCGTCTGTTAAGTAGATCGTTTTTTGTTTCGGTAGCAGCAGAAAATTCATTTGCCTGCAAACAAAAATAGTGTTATATTCCTGGGACTACCATAAAAGTTTTGTAAGAATTTTTAAGGCACTAAGGGGATAAGCCACAACTCGACGATAAATCGATATTATAACATACAAACCAAGAATGATTTATTTTTTTTTATCAATATTATGAAAGCAGTAGTAGGTAGCTATGGTATTTTAGCATTAAGAAATGATATTTACATTGTTTATTACAAATAAAAAAAAGAAAATTTAAGCCACAATAATTTCATTAAAAAGGGGACAAGCCACAAATTTTAATTACTCACCTGTGTTTCACTACCTGAAGAGTGTTTACTATCACTATTACTTTCAATATAGTCTTTGTCTTTAACACTATCATCAGAATCAAAATACAAATCAGAATCACTTTCAGAATCTTCATAATAAAACGATTTTTGTGGAGCTGTTCGACTACTTGAAGCGGCCATTATAAAAATATGGTGGCTAGTACCGTTGTTCCACTTAAAATAGTTGATTTTAGTATAAAAATAACAAGGATATTTATAACTCGTGGAGTCATCTATGAAGCAAAAGCTGTAGTTTTTATTTTGTAGGTAGATAGGAACCTAACCATTTGAAAAATATATATAACTCATTTTTAGTAAGATTGTGGCATGTACCGTTGTTGCTCTAAGGTCTTCATTTAATGAATTTTACCGAATACAATACTTATTTAACTAAATGTTTATTAAATATCCAGCTATTTTTACAGTATTTTTTTGCTACTAGATGTCCACTTTTATGTTCCAAACAGCTCCACCTCGGCACCGTTTTATATCATAATAATAAATACTTCATAATAAAGAAGAGAGCCAACAGCTTGTAGAAAGAGAATCTAATCCTTATCTGCATGCTGTACGGACGAGTCAATCCTATCGCTATCCCAGTCGGTGCTTAGATAACGCTACCGTTTCTTTGTGATTCGCTTCCCTGGGATCCGGGAGCAGACTCGAGGCCACCGGAATCAATGGTGTGGACATGACGGTGCAGTAAACGGACTCTGCAGAATGCTGTGTCCATCCATCATAGTTGGTCGTATTTAGTCGAGCCGAAACTTGCTGATAAGTTTATATTATAACCGATGCACAAAAATAGAAAAATGTGGCGCGGTCAGTAGTATACAGAAAGGGCTTTTTGTTTAATTTTGCGGAAAAAATATTACTTAGATAAACAAAAATAGTAACAGCTATTATGGAATATATCCTGAATTAGTAAATACAAATCGATATAAACATAAAAATTGTGAAACTATTTTTTGAGTCATTTCTGATATCTACTATATTTCATGAAAATTTGCCATAA